TAGCTGCCTTGTTTATATATATGATAAATAGCACAAGTTATTGTTACATATTGTTAGTGTTTTAACTTTGAAAGAAAATCATCTCACTTCGTCTATTTCAAAGGTAATATAGTTTAACTGAAGACTGGCCATAGCAGCACAAGTTTGTTTTTTTTGTTTGTTTCAAGTTTTTAATTAAATTCCATTTAGTTAACATATAGTGCAATATTAGTTTCAGGAGTAGAATTGAGTGATTCATCACTTACATACAACACCCAGCACTCATCACAACAAGTGCCCTCCTTAATACCCATCACCCATCTAGCCCACCCCCCACCCACCTCCTTTCATCAACCCTCAGTTTGTTCTCTGTTATTAAGTGTCTCCCTTTCTTTTTTTTTTTAATCCCCTTCCCTTAAATGTTCATCTGTTTTGTTTCTTAAATTCCACGTATGAGTGAAATCATATGGTATTTATTTTTCTCTGACTTTGCTTAGCATAATATACTCTAGCTCCATCCATGTTGTTGCAAATGGCAAAATTTCATTCTTTTTGATGGCTGAGTAATATTCCATTGTGTATATACACCATCTATTCTTTAATCTGTCCATCAGTCATTGGACATTTGGGCTTTCTCCAGAATTTGGCTATTGCTGGTAATGCTGCTATAAACATCCAGGTGCGTGTGCCCCTTCGAATCAGTATTTTTGTATTCTTTGGGTAAATACCTAATAGGGGGCACCTGGGTGGCTCAGTTGGTTAAGCGACTGCCTTCGGCTCAGGTCATGATCCTGGAGTCCCTGGATCGAGCCCCGCATCGGGCTCCCTGCCCTCCCCTCCGTGTTCTTTCTTGCTAGCTCTTTCTCAAATAAATAAACTCTTAAAAAAAAAATTCCATTTGACCTATTTATAGAGTTTTTGAGTTTATTGCTTAGTATACTATTTTTTTAGTGATTGCCCTAGATATAACAGTATATGTACATAACATCACACTGCCTATTAGTATTGATATTTTACCACCTCAAGTGAAATGTAGAAACCTTACTTAACATTTAGGACCTTTTACCCTCTCCACTTTTTATATATAATTGTCATGTTTCCTCTATATACATTGAGCACCACATCAAATGATGCTATAACTTTTAGTTCAATCATCAAATATGATTTAAGAAATTCATAAGGATAGTTCCGTATTTTTTTTTTTTAAAGATTTTATTTATTTATTTGAGACAGAGAGAATGAGAGACAGAGAGCATGAGAGGGAGGAGGGTCAGAGGGAGAAGCAG